TTGAAAATCCAAAGTGAATAGAAGGCAGGAACCACTTAGATACAGTCAGTAACAGTTTTATAAACTCTACATGTGCAATAATGTACTTTTGGGCTTTTAATGGTCAACTGTCTAAAATGTTACATGTCTACCACATTTTTTGTAGCCATCATCAAGCTTCGGAAATAATTCTGGTTGGTTCTTTGATCACTGGTCTTGGCAGGTTTAGCTCAGAATGGTTTGCTTTTCTGGCACAGACTTTTATGCATGGAGGGATAACCTCCTAGAAGCTTGATATTAAACTCTTTATTCAAATCAGAAGCTAATGCTGATGAATTTTTGGGGTCATTGTCCCATTAGAAGACCAGATAGAGTATCACAGTTTGTTGGTCATAACCTATCTAAATATAGAATATCACCCTGCCTGGTCTTTATTGTGCTTTAATCAGAAGATTCTAGGATTCTTTATTTATTAGGGGATTGTACACACTTCGTTTTGATTCAGAAAACAGTCAGGTTTATAAAAGTAAGAAGTTATTTTGTCAACAATCAAAACATGACAAGTTAACTAAGCATTTACTGTGATGGATGGAACTAGATGTGATGTATAAAACGTATGTGTGAATGCGATGTTAGTCAAAACTTCCGTATCTAGGAGAGCTGAGTTCTGGATGTAAAAGAATTTGGTTTGCGTTAAGCTATGAAGTTGATTATTATCAAAAACACATCAGATGCAGTCTCACTGTGTTCTACGTACCCAAGTGGAGACGCCCTTTTTGGATCCGAGATGTCAGGGGGGAAGGGGTTGGAGACCCCAGGTACCGAAGTCCGTAGATTAACTGCAGTACGACCAGGTCAGTCCAGAGTCATCTCCAGGTAACGACAGTTGGAACTAGTTTGCATCTCAGGAATAACTCTTAAGGAGTTGAACAAATCAGCTTGTTCTGCATGAACTGTGTTGTTGTATCAGCTTTGCAGATGCAAAATGGTTTTAATGACGTGTCAAAAGCTTTGATGGTTAATGAGATGTTGCTTCAGGTGGCCAGTCTGAAGCTTTCTCTAGACCTGAGGAAAAACCCGAGTAATCTGGTTTTAATGTTCTCATGTTATGATTGTGTAGCCAACCAGAGGTTGACGAGTTTGAGGAATATTACCAAAAATCTCAGAAACACACGCCTTCTTTGATACCGGAGGCTCTGATCTGGGGTAAAGGCTGTTTATGTGTCATGGGTTTGACTTTACCTTACTTGTTCTTGTGTGAGGTGGTGCTCACTCCTCGCCCCTGACACGTGGACCTCAAGGGATAAATCATCAACCCTGCTCAATGGTCAACTTTCCTGGCAGTGTCACCCATGAAGACAGTGGGAGGGTTAAAATATCTGCTGAATGTAATGATGTGAAGGAGATGGACAATCCAGATCTCTGGCCAGAAGGTGCCCTTGTTTGGAGATAGTTTGAGCCCAGGAGAGTTGAGCATGCCAGACTTGAGTTGAGCCATGGTGATGCAAACGGCCAAAATGGCACTGCAATGGTGGGAGACAAATGATAAATCATGGACTTACGAGTTCTGTCCTATAACTGTCGTGGGCTACGGCCTGGTAAGAGTAGTGGGGATAAAGCTTGTCGTCTGGTTGTTGAACACATTTTAACTGACTGTGGTATACTCTGTCTGCAAGAGACATTTTTAGCACAACAAGACTTGCCAAAGCTGAACTCTTTTAAAGACTTCTTTCTTTGGGTTGGTGGATCTACTACTAATTTTAATTGCAGTATTGTTAGAGGGAGGATACCTGGGGGTGTCACAATGTGCTGTCCTCACTCTGAGTTTCCTAGTTTTCACCAGCTAGACAGTGAGATAACGATGCTCTAATAAACAGACTTGAATTGATTTGTTGTGCTGATTTATTGAAGAATGGCCTCTGACTATTGCCTTCTCTTTGACCATCATAAAACTGAAAGAATACAAATTAGAAATCAGCTAACTAGCATAGCAAACTGGCTAGTCACATGACTAACATTAAGCTAAAACAAATAGCATGTTCATAACACCACAAGATGTGCAGCCTATAACAGTGTACACACAAAATGAAAAGAAAATCCTTATTTTGTCAACTAAAGTACTTACAGACAAATCTTGTCCAAGGCAACAACAAGTTGAAATCGATAACTGCTCAACACGGGGAAGCTGCGTCATTACCTTCAGCCATCTTGGTTTTTTTTTTTTTCCTGCCATTTCAAGGCTACCAAACCAATACTACATGTGGCCACTAGAGGGAGCTGGGCTAACTACAACCCCATTATCCACTGTAGCTTACACAAGGCAGAATACACAATATTGTGGAGAAAAACATGGATAAATATGTAAAAGTCATTAGGCTGGGAGTAGATTGGTGTATTGTGTCAGGTTCGTTGGCAGATCTGAAGCGTGACTGAGAGGATCTGTTGCCCAAACGCGGAGTGATGGAAATAACCAGCGTGGTTATCTCCTGAAGTTTTGGATTGAGGGTTTAGAGGGCTGGTAAGCCTGGAGACTCGATACAAAGTCTGGTGAGAACAATGACTGAGTGATGAATGAAACGCCGGCACTTCCTTAAGTAGTGTCGGCGTGATGACGTCAGCCGCCACGTTGGTGGCAGGAATGATGGGACAGAAGTCAGCGGGCTGAGTTCGTGACAGGACCCCCCCCCCCCCCTTAGGGACGGCTCCCGAAGTCCCAGGACGGCAGGCCCAGAAGTCAGTCAGCAGGGTAGGGTCGACAAACGAGCTCGTGGGTTCCCAAGAGCATTCCTCAGGCCTGTACCCCTCCCAGTCCACGAGGTACTGCCAACCTCGTCCCCGGCGGCGAGCGTCCAGAATCCTGTGGACCATGTAGGTGCGATCCGCCTCAATCCCACGGGGCGGAGGCACCCGGGCCGGCGGAGGGTGGAGAGGAGAGGAGATCACCGGCTTAAGCTGGGAGACGTGAAAGACCGGGTGGATCCGGAGAATAGCCGGGAGGCGCAGACGGTAGGTGACTGGATTGATGACCCTGAGGACAGGGAACGGACCCAGGAAGCGAGGTGTGAGCTTCCGGAAGCCAGCCGGCATCCTCAGGTTAGCGGAGGAGAGCCACACCTGGTCGCCAGACCGGAAGACGGGGCCAGGCCGGTGGCGGCGGCGATGCTGACGGGCATACTCCGTGTTGGCCCGGGTGATGGCCGCACGGGCCCGGATCCAGGCGAGCCGACAGCGGCGGACCAGCGTCTGGGCAGCAGGGAACTCCACCTTGGGCACCTGATGGTCAAACAGAGGAGGATGGTACCCGTAACAGGTCTCGAAGGGAGACAGACTTGTGGCAGAGGAGGTCTGGAGGTCGTGTGACAGCTCCGCCCACAGGAGAAAGCAGGGCCAGGTGGTCGGCTGGGACGAAGCGAAGCAGCGCAGGTAGCGTCCAAGCTGCTGGTTAGCTCTCTCTGTCTGACCGTTTGTCTGCGGATGGTACCCAGAGGACAGGCTGGTGGAAGCACCGACCAGGCGACAGAACGCTTTCCAGAAGCGTGAGACGAACTGGGGTCCTCGGTCGGAAACCACGTCGTGAGGGAAACCATGGAGCCGCATCACCTGTTCCAGGAGCAGTTCGGCCATCCTCTTGGCAGTGGGGAGGCCGGCCAGGGCCACTAAGTGCACGGCCTTGGAGAAACCGTCCGTGATAGTCAATATGGTGTCCAGGTGGTCGACCGCCGGCAGTCCCGTGACAAAGTCCAGCCCGATATGTGACCACGGCCGCTTAGGCACAGGGAGAGGCTGTAACTCTCCAGCGCCGGGTCGGTTGGAGGACTTGGAGTGAGCACACGCATCACATGCAGCAGTGAACTCGCGGACGTCCTTCCTCATGGACGGCCACCAGAGAGCCCGACGGAGAAACAGGAGGGTACGGGCTGGTCCCCCACGTGAGTGCCTCTTGTTGGTAGGAGGCAGGAACGTAGAGACAGTTCGGTGGCGCCGGATCGCCAGGAAGTGCTGCCCGTATGGACTGCTCCAACGACCATTGGAGGGAGGCCAGGAAGCGTTGAGTCGGTAGAATGGTCCGAGGCTCCGGGGGGGCCGGCATCTGGTGTGAAACGCCGAGAGAGAGTGTCCGCCTTGAGGTTCTTGGAGCCGGGCCGGTAGGCAATATGGAAGTGGTACGGCTCGAAAAAGAGGGCCCACCGAGCCTGACGAGGGTTGAGTTGGCGGGCAGTCTGTAGATGAATGAGATTCTGGTGGTCGGTCCAGATCAGAAAGGGATCGGTGGTCCCCATGGAGCCACTGCCTCCATTCCTCCAGAGCCCATTTTATAGCCAGCAGCTCTCTGTCACCGACCCCGTAGTTCTGCTGTGGGGGGGGGGAACTTCTGGGAGAAGTAGGCGCATGGGTGGAGCTTAGAGTCTGGACCCCGTTGCGTAGAGAACGGCCCCCGCTCCCACATCAGAGGCGTCCACCTCCACGACGAAGGGCCGGGTCTGGTCCGGGTGGAGGAGGACGGGTTCTTTAGTGAAACGTCCGACCAGCTCATGGAAAGCACGGACAGCCTCTGGAGTAAGGCGAAAAGGGCGAGGCTGATTGGTGGTTTTGGTGAGTGAGGTCAGAGGCGCTGCGAGGGAACTGAAGTTGCGTATAAACCTCCGATAAAAGTTCGAGAAACCCAGGAAGCTCTGCAGCTGCTTCAGGGTCGTGGGTAGAGGCCACTGAGCTACTGCCTGAACCTTCTGGGGGTCCATCTTCAGGCCCCGGGAGGAGATGGTAAAACCCAGGAAGGAGGTGGACTCCTGGTGAAACGCACACTTCTCCAGTTTGCAGTAAAGTCCATGGTCCAGGAGGCGGGACAGAACAGCTCGAACATGCCGGATGTGCTCTTCAGCCGTGCGGGAGTAGATGAGGATGTAATCTAGATAAACAAAGACCCAGCGGCCCAACATGTCTCTCAGCACATCTGTAATGAACCGCTGGAAGACGGCGGGGCTGTTGCAGAGGCCAAAAGGCATCACCAGATATTCATAGTGGCCAGTGGGCATGATAAAAGCGGTCTTCCACTCAACACCTTCCTTAATATGGATGAGGTTGTAAGCGCTGCGCAGGTCCAGTTTAGTAAATACAGCGGCTTGTGTGATGGCGTCCAGGGCGGTTCCCATGAGAGGGAGAGGGTGACGGTCCCGGATCGTTATTTTATTTAACCCTCGATAGTCAATACAGGGCCGGAGATCACCCCTCCTTCTTCTTTACAAAGAAAAACCCCGCGGCCCCGGGGGATGTTGAGGGACGGATGAATCCCTTCTGGAGGGCATCAGTTATATAATTGTCCACTTCCTTAAGTAGTGTCGGCGTGATGACGTCAGCCGCCACGTTGGTGGCAGGAATGATGGGACAGAAGTCAGCGGGATGAGTTCGTGACATATTGGAATACACTTCTCTTCAGGTAATAAGGACCTTGTGATTTTAAATGTATATTTGCCATATGAATGCGGACAACAGGAAGGTGAATACAATAATAAGCTTGCTTTTTAAAATTTGTTTATGAAAAGTTGTAATTTTACAAGTATTATGTTGTGGGAAACATGCATGCTGACATCTCAAGCGTGAACTCTGAATTAGGTAAACACTTGAGTCCGTTTTATTTAGAGCACAACTATATTATACCAAGTAAGCTTCTGCTGCCACATGACAGTTATGCATACATCAGTGAGGATGGAACTCTTCGTGGCTAGATCACTGGTTTAGCACATCAGATGCTCATGGTCCCCTTAGTTCAATGAAAATATTATACAATCTGGCTACCAGTGATCATATGCCGATTTAACAGTTGTCTGAGGTCTCTGAAGACAATGATTCGGTGTGGCATAGTTTAACTAGTCGAACCTTAGTAAAAGAGACCTGAGGTCTTACTACATGAAAACTGAGGACTTAGTAAGGTTACCCTTACCCGTTGATGCAATTAGATGTACTGATTCAAATTGTGCCAATATGAAACATAAAGTTTAAACTTGTGTATTTTACGATCATATAATCAGAGCCCTTATTGAGAGTGGTAAACCTTTTTATAAGGTGCAGCGCAGGACTAATACCAAGTTGCCTGGGTGGTATCTGTATGCAATCAGGTACTATGAACAGACCCAAGAAGCTACAAGGGAATGGGGACAAGCGGGTAGACCTAGACAAGACCTGTTATATGAAAATAAAAAGCTAACTCGTGCTAGATATAAGTATGCTAATAGGTTCATCAAAAAGAATGAGCAAACAATGAGATCTGATTCTTTTGGCTAGGAAGCTACTAACAAATTTTTGGGGGGGATTTTTGGAAAGAGGTCCAAGCTCTTAACAGTAACAAAGTTGTCCTGCCACATTCTGTAGATGGAATCTCTGGACCAGACATAGTTGAGCATTGGAAACAACATTCTACTGCTTTATTTAACTGTATTCACAGCGAACAAATTAATATAACAGAGATAAACAAGAACGAGTGTGTTAGTGTTATGGCATCTGAGGTGTATCAGGCAGTTAAAGAGCACCCAGACAGTTAATCCTGTGTTCTGGATGGAATACATACTGAACATCTTAAATATGCCAACCATAGGCTATCCCCTCTTCTGTATGTCTGTTTTACCAGCTGTTTGACCCATGGCATTTTGCCGGATGCACTTATGCCTGTCATCTTAGTCCCAGTTATAAAGGTAAAGGAAGGTAGTGTAGGAAGCATGAATAACAACAGGTCCATTGCTCTGGCGAGCATTGTGTCTAAGGTTCTGGAAAAAGTACTGCTATGTAGGCTAAAGGATTTCTCCTATTCTACTGATAACCTGTTTAGATTTCAACCAAAACACAGCACTGCTCTATGCATGTTTGCTTCAAAGGAAATAATCACAAAGTTTAAAAGAGGTGACTCCTCTGTGCTACTATGCTTTATTGATGCGTCAAACACATTTGATTGAGTTAACCATGTAAAGCTGTTTATTAAAATGTGTCAGTGAGGGGTACCTTAGTACATTCTGAGAATCTTAGCCTACTGGTTTGCTCATCAGTACATGCAGGTGAGATGGGGAGGTAGCTTCTCTGCTTCTTTTGGTGCTACCAATGGGGTGAAGCAAGGATGAGTTATCTCTCCTGTGCTCTTCAGCCTGCATATGGATGAACTGTCAGTGAAGTTGAATAATTGCAGAACTGGACTGGTTCAACCCTAGTCAATCATCTTATGTATGCTGACGATCATTCTGAGTCCTAGTAATGTGGGGCAACAGGAACCAAATGAGTCATTATGACCTGCAGAACAAAGGAAGATAAAGGTTTGCAGTTTCCCCAGTTCACCTTGTGTGGTAAAACCTTGGCTGTGATTGGCAAATACAAATATCTGGGGCATTTCATCAACGATGATTTGGCTGATGATTGATCGGCAATGCCGTAGGATGTATGCACAGGCCAATATGCTAATTTGTTGGTTCAGTGTGTGCTCTAATGGCACACCTGTGATCCTGCTACCAGAGGTGTGGACTCGAGTCACATGACTTGGACTCAAGTCAGACTTGTCATTATTTTAATGAGAAAATCTATAAAGACTTACGACTTGAATTGGACTTGAACGCCAATGACTTGCAACTTGAATCAACTTGCATCTGTTGACTTGATGATAACTTAAGCATATTTGATATTTTAGCACTAAAGTGGCATGGCATGGGCAAAAATCATAAATCATTCTTCGTTCTGGGTGTGATCTTGTACTGCTAAATGCAGCAGCACTTTGTTTATAATCAAGTTCAGTTGAACTTTCTGCTTGTTTCTGTCACAATGGATGTAGCTAACCTCTCCGTGAGTTTTCCTGTTTGCAGGTGGGCGCGCCCGGAGAGCAGCTGCTGCAAATTCTCTCATCAGCTCGCAGGGGATTTAAGGAGCGGTGTGACAACTGACCAGTGCCCAATGAGTACTCACATTGGGTAGTATACACCAGCTCTAGACCTGTTTCTAGTCTTTTTTTCTGCATCCTGTTCTGCCTGTTAAAGCCTCGTCATCCCCTGTCCCGTTCCTCAGTTCTCCCGCCCAGGTACTCTCATCATCTACCTGTTACCAGCTCGTCAACCTGCACTCTCACCTGCTACTACAAGGAGCCTCCGGATCTCCTGTCCACCCGCCACGCCGCTCCTCCCTTGGGTCATCTGCTCTCCTGCGCTCACCTGCCCGCTCAGCTCCCAGCCTCCTCTCAGCGCTCCACCACCTTACTGGAATCTGTAAGCCTCCATTCTAATCACACATTCCCCGTCTGCTTTACATTACTCATTCTTGTTCTCTGTCTCAGAAAGCTGCCAGAACCACCCTCCTCCGACGTCTCCCCAGCCTCGTCAAACTTAATAAATTATATATTTTTCACTCGTTTTTGTCTCCGTGATTCTGCATGTCGTGGGCCAAAAGGCTCGATCCTAACATGACAGTTTGAGCAAATAAATGAAGCTTTAAGAAGCTTTATTTCTGGAATTTATCATTGTCATTAAATTGAAGTTGGACAAATGACTTCATTATGACTTAGGCCTAGTCCACACGTAGCCGGGGTTTTTTGAAAAGAATATCCGCCCCTCCATAAACTTGCATCCACACCACCTCGTTTTAAAAACAAACTCTGTCCACACGTACCCGGATGAATATGTTGTTAAGGACATGCCAGACCTGTAGGCGGCAGTACTTCCCCCGTTCTTAACCTCGTCCTTCGTCTGTGGTCTTCCGCAAGGAGCAGTAATTCCGCTTGCAAAAACGAACAAGCAAAAAGCGCTTGGACAATTGATAAAGCGAGCGCAGATCTGAGGGCATCCATGCTGTCGGCTAGTGTAAACACAGGTCGCACACGTGATGTCAGCATTTTTTGTCGCGGAAAGTGACGTTGCGGACCTTAAAACTCTGGTTTTGTCTGTCCACACACAGACACCCAAAACGGAGAAAACGCAGATCTTCACTTTGGCCGGAGTTTTTAAAAAGATCCGTTTTCGTGTGAAAAAAATCTGTTTTCGTGTGGATGACAGGCCAAAACGTATAAAAATATCTACGTTTTGGCAGATCCCCGGCTACGTGTGGACAGGGCCTGAAATTCAAAGTTAAGGACTTGGACTTGACTTGGAATTCCACATCATTGACTTTGGACTCGACTTGGCTGTCATTGACTTGGACTTGACTCGAGACTTGACTGGAAAGAAATTGTGACTTACTCATGACTTACAAAGCAGTGACTTGGTCACACCTCTACCTGCTACAAACAATCAAGTCTTTGGTGACTTAATGTACAATTGCCTAAGAATTTTGCTAAAGAGACCTCATTGAGAAAGTGCGAGCCACTTGTTTGTTTCTATAGGGATAAGTACATTTCATGGGATGCGAAGGGTCCTGATGTATAGGTTTATCTGCCGGATAAACCGGTGTGATAATATAATTAAGTGCCTGACTAATGTCTACTGTGGCACCAGCTTTCAGTCAGAATAGTGGCGTCACTGGTACAACAGTCTGCTTTGATTTATTTATTTTTTTCTTATTTATTGCTATTGTTGGTATAGAGTGCTTTGGATCCTGAGTTTGCTAATAAAGGTTGATTAATGATTAGCTATCTTCTGCCACAACATGATGCTACCACCACCATGCTTGACTGCTTATGCAGCATTCTTTGGTTTAAAAGCCCAACATATTTCTAGTCATTGACACCAAATGAATCGATATTTGCTCTGTCTGAACAATAAAAGAACTATAAAAACTCTTCAGAAAGCATTTGGCTTATCTACCTGGACTGAAGTTTCCTCTGATAACCTTCTGCACTGCCAGGAGCTTCATTATTGGTCTGTACTCTTTTTCTGTTATAACTTTGGGCTGTGACTGGTATTTCAAGTTCCAGTTCTTAGGTTTGAGCCACGGTGGTTGTTTATTCTGTACTTAGTTCTGTCGATAGGTGGAGAGCTGCATTTTACTGAAAATGAAATCAAGTCATTGAAGTGGACTTTCTAAATTCTAATAATGCATAAGAACTTTACAAACTCCTGAAAAGTGGCATTGAATTAACTGTTCTGCATTTAATTAATTGAAAGAAGACAACATGTCCATGCACGCTCCACATCCACGTCTTTTGTCACATCCTCATATGAAACTCCAGTGACCCAGTGTCAAAATGCTCTGGCTTGTCCTCACACTTCCATTCTCCTGCTCTGGTACCTGACGACCTAGAGCAGCTCTGACATTTTTTTCTTGTTTCTCGGCCTTACTGATAATGAAATGTCTACCTCAACCAGAGTGTTCCTCGCTTGACCTAATGTAATGAGGTTTTTCGTTTTTATGGAGATGATCTGCTCCTGTCTTGTGTCAGTGTGCCCATGTTCTTGTGTTCCAGGTTCCAGCTTTATATTGTTTTTTCTATTTCTATATTGATACTCAATATTAATTTACAATAAGTGAAAATATTTATTTAAACATATTGTTTTTTTTATTATATTTTATTACAATGTTGTTTTTAATGCCCATGAAATTTGGTTTCTGCCTTTAATGACTGCAATTCTCTTCTTTTTCCACTAGGTGTCACTGGAACATAATGGAGCTAACAACTTGGCAAGCACCACAAAAAGCAACCCTTACGACTATAAGGAGTTGCACCTCTCATTATTGCCGACTAGAAGTAAATGTTGATCTTGAGATGGATTTGGTCACAGATGTGTGAAGAGGACTGTGGTCTCCATTGGACCACTGAAGGTTTTAAGGCTATTGAAAGAGCAGAAGAGCAACATTTGAAAATCTTTATTTCCACCATGAAGCCCCTCAACCCTCCAGTTAAACCTTTTGAATTATATTATAACCTTGAGACTTATTATGTGCATCTACTTATTAAAAAGTGAGCATTTTTCATCTAATTAAAGCGATGGTTCACAAGCGGCTCCCGCTGTGACGACTTTAGGTTAGCTCCAGTCAAGCACCAGTAATAATGTTGTCAAAAGTGATGCTGGGTGTCATTCTGTCCCTCCTCATCCTCCTAACTGTGGGTGGTAATGTGCTGGTGTGTCTAGCTGTCTGCGCCTGTAGACGCCTCCGCTGCCTCACCAACTGTTTCATTGTGTCGCTGGCTGTGACAGACCTGCTGCTCGGCCTCCTCGTCCTCCCGTTCTCTGCCCTCCTCCTGCTCAATGACGAGTGGCCACTTGGCCCGTACTTCTGTAACTTCTACATCTCCATGGACGTTATGCTGTGCACGGCCTCCATCCTGACTCTGCTGGCCATCAGCGTAGACCGCTACCTGGCGGTGACCATGCCTCTCAGGTACGCCTCACTAGTGTTGCCGTGGAGAGTTGCAGTAGCCCTGGTGAGTGTTTGGACGGTGTCTGTGGCTGTTTCTTTCCTGCCCATCCACATGGGCTGGAACACTGTTAATGGGACAGTACAGAATCATGGGCCATGGGCTTCAGCGAGGAGGTGTCGTTTCGAGCTAAATAGACCTTATGTGCTAACGGACTCTCTTCTCACATTCTACTTGCCTCTTGGGGCCATGTGCTGGACCTACCTCCAAATACTACGCATAGCGCAATCACAGGCCAAGCGCATCATCAGCACTCGACCTATCTGCATCACCAGCTACAACATGAGGAACAACCCCTCCACCACAACCACTCTGGTCTCCAGTGTTGCAGCCGTGGCACTGCGAGAGCACAAAGCCACACTGACACTGGCAGCAGTGATCGGAGTGTTTGTGGTGTGTTGGTTACCTTATTTCATATTGTTCACCATCCTGGGTCTAAAGGAGCATCCAGACCCTGGGATGGTACCAGAATTCCCTATTGTGTTGTGGCTGGGTTACACCAACTCAGCCCTTAACCCCTTCCTCTACGGAGCCCTGAACAGGGACTTCAGGTCAGCATACACTCACCTACTGAGATGCCGGATCCCTGCGTACCTCGGCTGGAGAGGTCGGCAGCCGTCTCCCACTGTTACAGCAGGTGACGCAGTTTAACTAAAGTTCTCCAAAGTTACATATGTTTTGTTTCTTTTATTTTTATTCAACAGTATTTTACATCTCATGTAAACACAACATATTGTGTAATTTAGAAAAGTTTTAGCAAAAAGTGTAAAAAAGTGGGACTTTTTTCACTAATGTATGAGTTTTTAACCCTTTGATGCAAGAATTATGAAATCTTCAACCATGATTTTTTTAACAATTTTTTCCATTCATCTTTAGGTGTGAATGAAACAAATTTCAACAAATATTTTTTGTAAAATTTTATAATTAACAAATACTTTATTACATGTCCACCTCAGTGGGCAGTGTGCATTCTGAGCATGAAATATGTTGGCTTGGTTTACTGAAGTCCAAATGGAGGTGCTCAAATGCAATAAAGTCTTCAACAGCTCTGCTTAATAGCAAAAACAAATAAATAACACTTTTGAGTACCTGTCCACTGTAGTGACCATTATGCATCAAAGGGTTAAATCAATTTCACAAGAATTGGCATTTATAATTCACAATTTGATGATCTGAGACTTGACTAGGCAAATTTACAAAAGACTTGGGGCTTGACTTGACTTGAACAAAGGTTTTACACAGAGTGAATATTAAAGAGATTTTTAAAGGACAATGCAATGTCATCACTCCTCTTTTCTGGCCACATGCTTTTGCATTTGCTGCTTGTTTTCTTCATAAAAATAAAATAAAAACCTCCTAGGAAGCGGTATGGAATGTGTCTCATTAATCAAAATCTTTTAATAACTAGTTTAGGACTCAAAAATCAACATTTAGGACTTCAGGAGGAATTCATAGTTAATCCAATAAATATTTGGTGTGGCCACTTGTTATCTCGGATTCAACCTGCAGATGTTTTAAAAAAAATAAACAGTTTTAAATATCTGAGCGAACAAGAGACAGATCATCTGTACATAGTCCTGGTCCAGATCTGAATGGTGTTCAGATCAGGCTTTTGTAGATAACACCATCACCTCCTTGTCAAACTGTTGAAGAATAAATTAGGAATGGGACATCTTCCTGGTTTTGGTTGCTGGACTACTGTTTGCTTGCATTTCTCCAACAGAAAACACATTAAATCTGACCAAGCACTAAGCTCCATCTGCACAAAAGCAGATTTAACTTCCAAAACAGCTCTACGAAATTTTTGACTGCAGACTGTTTTCATAGCATTACGCTTTAGCCCATCAGCAAATAAGCTGCCTTCTGCTGCAGCTAAGTTCTTTAAAGACTGACTCATCAGCCTAGAGCACCTGCTGTCATTTTCATGCACCAAAGTTTTTTACATTTTAGTGCATAGTCACTCAGCCCTTTCTCCACATCAAAGTCATAGCTGTTGTCACATTGTATTTAGACCTCATCCCCACAAACCTCTCAGGACGTTATGGGCGTATCTATGGGAGGTTAACACAATGTCTTTTATCTGTTACACTAATGCGTCTACAGCCTCATGAGAGGAGCTTCAGCACATGTTGAAACGCCAGTCTAGTCTGAAATATTTACCTGCTATAGAGCTGGCTGATACTGTCTCTTGTTGCTCACCTCAGTCTGATGTGGGATATGAAATAGTCCAACTTTACAGTAATTTGTCTGTTTCTCATCCACCTTTAAGCCTCCTGATGCTGTTTCTGTTTCACCCAAACACCTAATATGAAACCGAGTCTCGTTAGTGAAAGTTTGATATAACTGGTTCATCATTCACCTGACTATAATCCTACACACATGATATTGTGCAAATATTACTAGAAAAGTTGGAGCTGTTTGGAAAAAACAAACAGCAACATTTTACATTGCTGTCTGCAAGGTCGTTTAGCACTCATTATTAGGATTTATTTGTGAAAATATTCAGCTTTTTTCACAATTGACTAAAACTTTCACACAATACATCATTTTTATTTGTGTCCATGAAGTTTTTTTTTTTGTTTTGTTTTGTTTTGGTTTGGTTTTTTTGCTTTGCTTTTTCATGTGTTAGCCAGAGAGCGGCTAACAGAGATGACACTGCTGTGTGGCAGTGCTCCTGCCTCCTGCAGAGCAGCAATAATGGATCAAAACATTACACTTCAAGACACGAGCAGCAGGACAACAGCCCCACCATCCATCCACTCTGCAAACGGCACTGCTCCCACAAATGTCAATGGAAACGAAGGGTAAAGACGGGTTTGTGTCCATCTAGTAAGCTCCGAGCACTCATAGAACATATTGTGGTTCTGTCATCCTCTTAAATCTTTTCTCTCTTTGTAATGTGAATGTGCCGTTCTCCTCACCGATTCCATCGACTCCAGGATGTGCCGAAACGGTACCTTTGAGGAGGATGCTGTGCTCGTCTCACAACAAAGAGCCAGAATCCGTCAACTTGAGGTGAGGAATGAACAGACAGACCAAAGATGGACAGAGATGCAACAAGTCCCTCACATATTCAGTGCCACAGCAGAACCAACCATAATACCAATGTAAGTGGATATACTGCACATACCTGCAGCCCCCACAGGCCATGTCCTGCCCAGAACAAATGAACTGTGACACAGATCCTAGCTGTGTCATCCACAGCGCGTTTGGCCATGTGGCATTATGCTCGTTAGGCCAAGAAATGTGCTCACAGCTCTGAAGAGACACATTATTGAGTTACACAGCTCTCTCTTATTTCTCTATTTGCATTTAGTGGAAAACTTTTAAAGAATAAGTTTGGAAAGTGTGAAGTATTCATGGCTGCTGAAGTTTTCTTTACATGATTCCTCATTGTGGATGCTCCATTAGTGCTTTAGCATTGACAAAAGTTTTTATACCTTATGTTGGCATGTGGGGGTTTATGGGGGCTCGAATATTGTGCTAAATTTTAATCAGACATGTCTGTAGCTTGTTTTTTATTACTATGTTTAACCTTAAATGTAATTTTTCAGAGATGTTTGAACAACATCAGTTGGGGGAATATAAATAAGTTATGACCAGTGTTGGGAGTAACAGCGTTTGATTATAACGGTGTTGACTAAGGTTTTAGGTAACAGAGTAATCTAATTATTTACTTTTCCCATCGTTGCAACACCATTACTGGGCATGTGAAGTGGCGCATTACTACAATGTGGTTGAATGAAGCGTGATGTGTCAGTCAAAAACAAAACTGCTCTACCTGCACCCCCATCCAACTACGAGCTGCTAACAAATGGTAGAAATGTACACACACACACACGTGGCACACACACACAGCGTGCCCCACATCGCCGTGAGTCTGTGTGGTAGTGGGGGAGTGAGTCCTACATCCGATTGCTGGGAAGAGGTGGTGTACACTAAATGCCTGGGACAATAATTACATCAATATGATGAGACCTGTAAATATTGGTGGTGACAAATTAAGAAAGGTGAGGCAAAGGTTCAAGCAGGACAAGCAGTCAGAGATTTCTATGGCAAAGTATCCATAATAACAACTGCACTAGTAGGAAAAAGGTTTGAGAAATCTCAGAATCCCTAAAAAACTAAGGTGGCCTTTTTATGTTTTACTAAGCAGACTGGATTCCAGACATCTATAATTCTATTGTTCCTAGTAGAAATTAACATTTCAGATACCCATAAGAGCATTCTAACTGACAGTAAGAATCACTGTCATCAAAATCTTTGACATTATAAATTTTGAACAAAACTGTATTATAGAACATAAAAGTTAAGTTACAGTTACTTTGCTAGATAATTACTTTTACAATGTGGTAACTGACTTACTAACTCAACTGTTTTGGAAAAAGTTATTTGTAACTATAACTAATTGTCATGGTCTGTGTCTGCATCTTCCTCGTGTGTCTCCTGGTGTTCCCCATTTGCCCACTGGGTTTCCCTCCTCAGACGTCCCTCTCCCAGGTCCTGTGCCCTCTTGGCCCCCTCTTAGCCACGCCCCTGTTGTTTCTTTCTGTAGTGTTTTCCTTTAGTGTCAGCTTCCCCTTAGAATATTAGTTATGCTTCATGCCTTCTGGTCTGTTGTTTTTCTCTTAGGTCATTTTCCTTTGTCACAGCCTTTCATTATTTAGTGTGTTTTTCCCACTCGTGTTTTCTTCCTCCTCCCTGAGGCCCTGTCCACACGTAGCCGGGGATCTGCCAAAACGTAGATATTTTTCTACGTTTTGGCCTGTCATCCACACGAAAACGGATCTTTTTAAAAACTCCGGCCAAAGTGAAGATCTGCGTTTTCTCCGTTTTGGGTGTCTGCGTGTGGACAGACAAAACCGGAGTTTTAAGGTCCGCAACGTCACTTTCCGCAACAAAAAAATGCTGACATCACGTGTGCGACCTGTGTTTACACTAGCCGACAGCATGGATGCCCTCAGAGCTGCGCTCGCTTTATCAATTGTCCAAGCGCTTTCTGCTTGTTTGTTTTTGCAAGCGGAATTACTGCTCCTTGCGGAAGACCACAGACGAAGGACGAGGTTAAGAACGGGGGAAGTACTGCCGCCTACAGGTCTGGCATGTCCTTAACAACGTATTTATCCGGGTACATGTGGACAGTTTTTTTTTTAAATGAGGTGGTGTGGATGCAAGTTTTTGGAGGGGTGGATATTCGTTTTTTTTTTTAAACCCGGCTACGTGTGGACTAGGCCTGAGTTAGTAATTGTGTTCACCTGGTCCCTCTCCCCACACACCTGCAATTCATCTCCCTCTCATCTTCCCAGTCTATATAAGCCCTGTCTTGTCTCAGTGTGGTTGTTGGTCCATTGTATTTCTGTCAGCATTTGTTCGTGCTCTGTCTGAGCTTTTCGTCTCTAGGTCTTTGTGCTCTTAGTGAGCTTTTTGTTTCAAGGTTTTTGGTCCTCTAAGAGAGCCTGTGCTCCAGGACTTTTGGCTCGCTGCCTTGGATTATTTTTTGTTCTTTCATCCTGTAAATAAAAGGATTTTTACTTTGAATCAACTTCTGCCTCCTGCCGTCTGGGTAATCTGCATTTTGGGTCCTAAACATCTCCTCAACGTGACACTAATTACTTTATTAAGATGCCCAACACTGCTTATGACCCAAAAAAAAAAAAAAAAAAAGGTGAAGCACTCACTAGTTAAATTGGGGATAGTAAATGTTTCACTAGTGATACATAATATAATAATACTTCTGCTAGAATAAAAATCAATTCTTTAATTTAAAGGGAAGTAAAATTAGAAAAAATTTATTTGCATAAACTGCTGAACTTTTTTTCAGACTAGAATAGTTTAAAGAGCATGTCAGAGTCTTACTCCACCCAGTTCATCTAGTTCAAAAAATGTGCCAAAAGGAGGTGTTGCCTGATAGACCGAGCCGGCACCGCAGTCGCAGTTACACTGTACCCCCCTGCCTTCATCCCCCACTCTGAGGTTTTCCATCAGAGAATCGAGGCACTAATACACACACTGACACACCCTCCTCACTCGGACAGAGAAAAAGCTGCACACTTGCTAGTCGGGAAGATTTCTCTCCATCTAGTTTACCAGAGGAAAATGAGGAAGGCTTGAGCCTATCGTTTCATTTCGCCTCCTGAGTTGCCCGAGGCCACAGAGACCGAGCTGGCCGGAGGCGTTGCCAAGACTCTGCTGCTCCTGACAGCTGTAGTGCAGCCACATCACATGTACTAGTTAATATCATACAGTAAGGCTTAGCCAGTAGCAATGGCTGATTTGAATTCAAATGTAGTTCAGACTTTTAACCTGAAGGGGGCACTACACTGATGGTTTTAGGCAGAATAGTTTTCATTTAAATACATTGCACATGTCTACAACACTAGTAAACACTCATACAGTTTATCAGCAATAAAGTGGATTTGGGGTAAATTCCTCTTTAAAGACTTTTTGTAATTTGCCGTGTTGTGAATGGCTGAGTTTTTTTCTAATCAGAATTTTAAACTCAGATTATTCACAGAAACATCTTCAACACAACACAAAAACTCCCTCTTAAAGATCTGAACTATCGCTTTAACATGAGTTCATTCCTACTGTATAAACGGTGAGTGTAGATATCTGTTACATCAATAAAACATTTGCCTCTACAAAAGACATCCGATGGATGGATGGATGTTCATCAATGGCTGGGATGCTTCAGGTAACTGAAATAAAGGAACATTTAAATGGTCTCAAACCTCCATTAACATGTCTTTTACGTGCCTTCAAGCTGAAAATGTTTAATTTATTAATTTAATTTTAAGTGTTGACTATAGTATTCTGTGAATTTACATTAACTTTAGTAGGAGAGCTGCTGTAGTCGCCATTTCTTTCCCACTCTACACAATATTAACTGAAAAGGGAAATAAATGTGGTACAAAAAGTAATTTGCTTTTCTTTGTGTCTCTTCTGTAGAACTCTCTCAAGGCCAGTTTCAACAAAGAAGTAAGGATAAAGGTCCAGACCAATTAAAAGATCTCCACCCAGTTCAAGGATTTCTGTGGATAACTCTGGAGAGACTGGAACTCTAGGGCTGAATGACAGCAGCTAATTATCTTGTTGATCACCGGTGTAAGCAACTAGCAATGTTTAGGATGACTTAAGAGGGCCCTCTAGTGGTACCATAAAGAACTACACATGCAGCTTGGTCAAGATCATTTATTTTGAATTAGATTTTTCATTCAAATGTAACCGGAGAAGAGGGAAGTAATGATCGTACACGTCTCTGTGTTTAAATAACTAGTAAATCTATGTTCTGTGTTGGTTTTGAAGGATGAAGCCACCTTCACATTCTACTTTACCTTGTGGTGTAAAACTTGTTTGTATTGAATCACAATGTAAATGTAACCAATAACTCAAAAATCACATGTGGCGTTTCTGCAAAATAATAATAAAATACAACCATTCCAATAAAGAGTAACTGATAAAAGAATGACACAGGTACAAGGATGTGTGGATGGGCATTATTTTCCAGCGGTTTCCTTGAAGAATTGTTCAATAACTTGTTTTACAATCCTTTGAGTGTCAATGACCCAGAGCAGGCATCTTCAATTCAGATTCCTTTATGTTAGTTTAATATTATAAACATTCCTATTAATGACTATAGATGCAAAACATGTCCTAAATAATATCAGAGTAGTGGTTATTTGTAAGTGCGTAAATGTGGGACAAAATAAAATCTTTTTTCACTAAGGATACAAGTCAGTACAATGGAATTTGTAGCCATCAACCCCATTCTTTGATTGGTAATTTATCCATAAAGCCTTTTACTAATTCTTCTTGTGGAGCCAAAGCAGGTCTGATCTCTTTGGGTCCAGTTGGACGTGAGTCTTCTAGAATGAAGCTGTCAGTAGAATATTTGGGTCTGACCACTTCAGCAGGCTCTTTGTTGAGTAGCTGATGTTATTCTTGGATAGTTTTGGTTTTGTGCTGATTTTTATAATTGTTTAAGTAATTCAAACCAATATTAGCTGCAAGTAAATAATTGTAGCAAATATCTACTACAGGTTGGTTGATACAGCTTGGCTTTATATAAAGATTGAAACCACAAATAGCAGCATAAGCAGGCCCAATCAAGAAAAAAATTGATGAATAGCAGAGCCTCACAGTCATACCAATGTGAACTACACCCTAAACAGGCTCTTCTACCTGAGACATCAGTGTCAGAATCAAACACACAGTTTCCACTGATCCAGAAGCGAAAGGTTGTTGGTGCAACTGAAAACAT